AATTTAATTACAAACTAATCACTTGCTAGCACTACACCACAGTGAAAATATGCAAAATACACAATGGAGCTAAAGACGAATGCTGGAGATGTAAACAACCAGATGCCCACCCAGCACACATCTGGTGGCAATGTCCAATGATAGCAAAATACTGGAACAAATACACACACTGACACAAAAAAATTACTGGCGTGCAAATCCCATTCTCTCCGGAATACCTGTTATTCCTTCTGCCACCCCCCCAAGTCAACGACAAAAACAAAACACAACCTTAACCACCCACCTACTCATAGCTGCAAACCAACTCATCCCACTTCATTGGAAACAGAATATACCTTTCACAGTGCGGGAATGGGTTCAATGGGTAGAAGGAATGAGATAAATGGAAGAAATCACAATCTCCAGGTCGAAAAACTATGATAAATACACACAAACATGGGCACAAATGGACCAAATTCCTACTGGCGGAGACCGTTGCTCATAATCTGCAAAACTAGAGGAGTAGACAACCTCAGAACTTTGTTGCAGCTGGAGTAGGAGTAATACACACACACTGGGCTCATACTCAGTAGCTCACAGGGATAAATGAGACAGATACCATGACGCTCTAGAAGCTTGTATCTGTATAGACTAGATACTCCTCTAGAAGCAGTGATTCTCCCACACCGAACCACCCCATGACTGTCACCCACCAGGATATTGTCAATGTTAAGGATACACACAATGTTTGAATTGATGTTCTAAAAATAGATAAAATGCCAAGAATACTATGTAAAAACAAATTCTATTAAAGGTCTATGTGTACGTTAAGATGGAATCTGTGTACAAACAAATGCAAAACTCTGTTCAATGCACAAATCTAAATGTAACCATGCCTCACACTGTATTAATGTTGTTAGTAAAGCTTTTTTTTTATTGAAAATCAAATCAAAAAAAACCCCACAGGTAATATCAGGAGAAATATTGGCTGCTCTGGAAAAAGACTGGGTGGTTGTTTCAAGGAGCACAATACGGCAATACTTGAACAAAAATGAGCTGCATCGTTGAGTTGCCAGAAGGAAGCCTTAACTGTGCCAATGCCACAAAAAAAGCCCAGTTGCAATATGCACAACAACACCTTGACACGCCTCACAGCTTTTGGCACACTGTAACTTGGAGTGACAAGAGAAAAATAGAGATGTATGGTCACAACCACATGCACTATGTTTGGAGAGGGGTCAAGAAGGCGTATAGTGAAAAGAATACCATCCCCACTGGGAAGTATGGTGGTGGCTCACTGATGTTTTGGGGTGGTGTGAGCTCAAAAAGTACAGGGGATCTTGTGAAATGTGATAGCAACATGAATACAGCATGTAATCAGAAAACGCTGGCAGACAATTTGCATTCTTCTGCACGAAGGCTGCGCATGGGACGCCTTTGGACTTTACAGCATGAAATGACCCTAAGCACAAGTCCAAGTTGACCCACCAGTGGTTACAGCAGAAAAAGGTGAAGTGGCCATCACAGTCTCCTGGCCTTAATATCATCGATCATGGGGAGATCTCAAATGTGTGATTAATGCAAGACAATCAAAGACTTTGCATGACCTGGAGGCATTTTGCCAAGATGAATAGGCAGCTATAACACGTGCAAGAATTAGGGACCTCATAGACAAGTATTACAGACAAGTATGCACACTGTCATTGATGGTAAAGGGGCAATGCACAATATTAAAAACTAAGGGTATGCAGACTTTTGAACAGGGGTCATTTCATTTTTTTTCTTTGTCTTTTGTTATGATTGTGCCATTCTGTTATAACCTACTGTTGAATATGAATCCCATAAATTATAAACAAAATGTGTGTTGCCTGCTCACTATGGTTTTCTTTAAAAATGGTACATGTACTAATTCTCCAAGGGTATGCAGACTTTTCAGCAAAACTGTAAGTAGTGTAAAACGGATATACAAGATAAACGTACCATAACCATGTAACTGTAGTTAGACAAGATTAGTGAAATTCTCCTTTCCAATTTGTAACTTGATTATACTAAGCGTAATATAACTGTGGCCTCGCATGACAGATAATTAACAAATTAGGGTAGAAGATTTCACCAATAATCAATACTAATGCAATACATAGTCTAAAACCACAGATCAAATTGTATTTATTAAATAGGAGAGGAGAATAGATTAAACAAATGCAGCTGAAATAACCCCATAGCGTAGAAATGCAACATATGTCATTATACAAAAAGTCACTATAGGGCTTACCATTGTAAAAATGCTTGCGATAACATATTGCCTTCCCTATAAATATTAGCCCAACAGTATTAACATTGCTAACAGTGTTTACAGTGAGCACTATCCTTAACCTAATGAAGCTGCTGAACAAGACTGAATAAATTAAAAGTGCCGAGCTCTTGATACAGGTAGCATTGAGGATTAGCTAATATGGATACAAATGAAAATTATCAACTGAAGTAGGCCGAATGCCCCTAGATTTGGCTGAACGAGAGCCAAAATGCCTACTCACCGTTTGTTGATATTGATAGTTCTATTAGTGAAGACGTGGGACATTTGAAATTAAGGTGAACACTGCCTTCTTTAACTTTGAGATTATTCCCCTAATGACTTACTTAAGGGCCAGACCTACCGTAAGAGATATGTGGTTGTCATTCAGTCCCCATGAACTGGATCGCCGTGCACGGTAAGTATATATATCGGTGGAAGAGCCTGCTATCTGCAGGGCGTTCTTTGTCGCCCTGCAACGTTAAAGCCCATATTTTGCAGGATGACAGAATGTCCTGAGGCATTGAGTTAATAAAAAATTTACCTTTTTTTTTTTAAACCTGTTCTTTTCACTTTAAAAAAATGTGTTCCTTATTTTATAGCAACAATCTGTAATCTTAATTAGAATTATTTTTACTCACCTGTAAATATCTGTATACACCCAGTATCTGAGCAATAGGTATAGTTGTAACTGAGTGGATATCCCCAATAAAACCAGCCACCTTGTTGTAATCCCTACAGGAATAATTAGGGATGATCTTCCCTGGTCCAGATAGAATTTGAAAGACACTCTTCACAGCTTTCCCCGGGTTACCACAGGAATCAAAGACGTGATATCCCAGCGTGATATTTGGCAATATATCACTAATATTGTTATTTATATATTCAAAATGATTCAAAAATGATTTTAAATCTAAATAGTGGGTGGCCATTGGACTGTTAAATAAAAAATAAAAAAATAGTTTAAAAACCATTAAAAAAAACACACAGATGATATTTAAAATTAGGAAAACAGCCTGGATATGATGGCACTAATTGATCAGACCAGGGAGAGGTTTAAAGACCAAGTGAGTTTATCCGATAAAAATTATATCAACCAAGCAGTATTATCAGTAATAATCAGGACTAAATGGCAAAACGGAATCATCAAAGAGACTCTAATGGGAAAAAAAAACTGAAATTCATCAACCAAGAGTCATCTGAAACCGTGCTCCTCAACCCTCTCCTCAAAGCACACCTACCAGTCAATGATTTACTGGTTACCCATTTATGTCTAAGGTGGTTAGAAAAAAAAATAAAATAAAAAAAAACACCTTTTGATACTAATGTGTTTTTTTTACTGGGTAATCGGTAAATCCTGAACTGCTAGGTGTGCCTTGAGGAGAGGGTTGAAGAGCACTAATCTAGAGCCAGGTTTATATTATTTGCAATAAAAAACAGATGTGGACTAGCTCGATGACTATCACTGTGTTTCTGTGGCTACTTGGTGAGGAGAGGATTTGTCCTTGTGACTCTTGGAATCCTCCTCTGGATTGAAAACAGGACATACTACACAAAGTATTGCATACATTATGGATATTATCTTCTTACTAGCTAACAATATATGTTATGTCTAAAAAATCTACATCACAATAAGTTAAACACAGAGTGTATGAAAATCAGACACCTTGCACCATAGCCTCCACAATAATCTGTAGCTGTTACATTGCTTGTCCCTTGAAATAATCCCGTATATCCATCTTCTAATACATGGACATTAATCCTTTTACTCAATAGAATCTGACAAAAAACACGGACACCCGTGAAAAAGGTGATATAACACAACAACTTAACTGAAAGGTACACAGCTTCCCAAGGTTATTTCCCAGTTGATAACCTTATAACAGAACAGTGTGATTGATAGGATATTTGGGATTCTGCTGATGTACCTATAATAGAGGACAAAACATAGTGCAAATATTGCTACACACTATAAAACCGCTGGTAAAAAATATGCACTCACATATTCCAAAGAATATAAGCGTGTTCATGGTGCCTCCCCCTAAGTGTGAAAAAAGGGGGGGTTATTCTCCTTTAATTCTCCCTCCTCAAGTGATAGCCAATATAAGAAAGAGATGCTTTCTTATATTGTTTTTATGTATTTTTATATATACCTCTTGAATTTTATAAGTGAATAAATCGCCTTTGAAGTATTCCTTTGGTTGCATCTGCTTGGATCTTTTTGCTGACCCGGATACCCCACTGGCTATCACTTGAGGAGGGAGAATTAAAGGAGAATAACCCCCCCTTTTTTCACACTTAGGGGGAGGCACCCTGAACACGCTTATATTCAATAGAATCTGCCCAGATCATTTCCTGTAACATAAAAATCACTTTACAATAAAATCTAAAATTACTAAAACCAATCAGGATTGTCCAGGATTCAGGACATGGTTTCACAATCTCTCGCTGTCAGAGAGGTTAATGATTAACCAGAATGGGGAATTATTGCATCTTATTATTTACAGCATGTAATAAATGTATACTTTCTACTCAGCCAAACGTGAACCAAGAGATACAATTCAATGTTATTGCTACATACCACCCAAGTGTCCCTCCATCCCACTTTTCTACGCTAATGTTCTAAATTCAATTTTAGATGCATAAATTGTTATTATTAATTCAACTAACATTTCTAAGAACAGTCCAGGTCTTCCTTCATAATTAAATAAAAGTAAATTTCTACTTACTCTAAACAAATTATTGACAAAACTTTATTCTCAACAACGTACTGATTCGTAGTTGGTAACCAATGTGTATCTCTGTTCACAGTGAATATTCCTCCAATTATAATGTCACCATCTTTAAAGTACTCATATTCTTCATATGGTTCAGTTATACGGAGATTGCATGCAGGTGAAGAAACTTGATTCTTGAATAGTGAAGGCATCATACAGAATAATAACACACAGAATAGCAATCTGAATGAATGGGATGCTGCTCCATTTCCCAGCTTTATGTCTCTGTATGGTAACATATATCCCTGCATGGTGCCCAGCATCAGACAGCTGTGGGAGTCACAGCCATAATTTATCACGGGGGTCAGTGAAATCTGCTGCATGTGTTTCTCAATGTAAGGAAACAGGATCATCTCCCCTCATTTTATACAGTGCAGAGCTTCCAGATATAATGGCATGTGGCTTGGGATCATTATTCTGTCCTATCCCTTGATAAATCACATACACAGTGGGTTAGATATTTTCTGCCTTGAATTGAATTCAGTTAATAGAAATGTTCTATTATCTCATCTTTACACAGTGTTGCATCAGTTACACAATTCTATGCATGACTTGCAATGCAAAGCTAAGTTAAAAAGTCATTTTTCAATGTGTAAATGGTACAGGGGGTCCCAGAACAAGTGGGCTTTTCCTACTAAGCTATGCGTTGTGTTGATTCTATTTTTCTAGTCTTATGTGTTCTGCCATTTGAACTTTAGCAGTCTTTACCATATACTGCACTGGTAGTAGTTAGTGTCTCCCAAACAAAGCAATTGAAAAGAGCAGCAGCAGCTGGTAACTCCTTTTCGCTGCTTGTGAGATTTGCAATGGGTTCACAGCCATTACTCGTTAACAGTATCAACAGTAACTTTAGTGAGTAGCAGTTGGCTGGTAACACAATAGCAACAGGATTGCAACCAAGACTAAGTCTTTCATCTGTGCTCTTTCTTATCCAGATCTTCCTGTCTATATTGATCACCAGTACTGGACTGGCTAGGGCAAACCAGGCAAATGCCCTCTGGGCATTGTTGTTTAAGGGCCGAAACCGACAGGGGAGATCCTTTGATCTGCAATGCCAGCCTATGCAGAGCTGTGTTTGCCTTCTTGGGTCAGTGTGGAGATCAAAGATCTCCCTCACTGGCACTTCTTTCCAGCGGAGTGAGGGAATGAGGACACGAGAGGCTGAACGTTCCTCCCACTAGTTAGAGGAGTGAACTCAAACTGAAGCCGGAGCTGCAGGCTAGAGTCACTCATCCCCATTGGACTACCATGGCCAAATGTAAGAAAAAGGGTAGGGGGAGATAGAGATTTTATATATATATATATATATGTATGTATGTGGAAGGCGTATGCCTGAATTTGTGGGAGGGGTTATTTTCCTATTTAAATCCCTAGTAACCCCAGCTTACCTATCGTCGCCGTCTGGAAGTTCTGGCCTGCTCGCCTCCCAACTTCTGGGTCCTCAACAGGCATCGCACTTCCGGTCCCGTCATACCTTGCGGCTTCCCACCAACCTCTGTTCGCACAGACACGCACAAACTAACGAACACCAGGTAAGCGGCGAGAATAGTTGCGTTCAGGATATTCACGCCGTTCGACTTTTTCTTTCTCACGTAGGAGACCGCAACCACAGGTGGCAAATATACACATATATATCTTTTCTTTTACGATTTCTTGCCACTGAATCTTGTTCGCACTTTTGCCCGGACATAAAGGTTAATCTCAGGACCACATGAAAATCACACCTCACAAACTTGGGTCTCGGTTGTCACATCTCCCTAATGAATACCCCCCCAGTCCCTAGGGGTATCAAAGTCGGTCTAGCAGGCAGGACTGCCGTACAGCCCCAGGAGAAATACCACTTACTATTCTACTATGCAGCTTCCCCTTACAGGGTCGAGTCATTAAAACAACCAAGGGCACTTTGTTTTCCTTCTAATCCATTTTTCTACTCATGCAAATTACACAGTGACATGCACATGTCACAATCAGAACATATTGTTACAATAATCAACACAACAATGCTTAGATTCATTTTAACTGCTCAAACATCAGCAAAATAAATATATTTAATTTAAAATGCACAGTGTTTATCTCCTTTGAAAAAAACTTATTTAAACCCAGCCGCTTTACAGACCGGTAATACGTCTTTAAACTCCTATTCATTATCCCCATCCTCTTAAGCTCCAGCTCTTCATTACATTATGTCCCCCAGTTTTATTTAGTTTTAATCTCTATGAAAAAAAAAAAAAATTCTTTGAAGAAAGATAAGTTTTACATAAGTCTAACCTGAGTGACTATGTTCACCCACTTTAACAATGTGGCAGTCTTTCTTGGTAGTAAAACTTAAACCCATGCTGATACCTTACAATCTGTATCATCCTATAATAACCCCTGTAATATCATGTCTGTTACTGTCATTCTTATGCTCTCACTACACGTAGCAGTCCCATGATAGGGATAATTATACTCGTGGTTTCTCAACCTATTCTAAACTAGTAACGGTGTTATACTCAGATTGACATTTCTCCAACCACTGTACAAACCCGCTGACGATCAGCATGCATTCACTCACACAAACCCTAAAACTACGGGACAGTCATTAGGGTTGATTCGGGCAGCGAGCCGCTACCGAGTACACCCCACACAATGTCCAGGCAAATCAAATTACCCGCACATTATCTTCGATGAGTACCATTTAAATTACAGTTGTAATCGTTGCAACTGTTACACTGCTTCTAAATTCCACTAAATGGATACTATTCATGACTAAAGTAGTATGGTAGAGGGAGAGAAAGAAAGAAAAAAAAACACTTACGAGCCACGAGGGCCATACATACATACACGCATTGTAGTTCATACGTATTGACCATCTGGACCCGAAGTGCTCACAGGGCACTCCAGTTACGGTCAGCCTTACAATTCTACTTTATTATCACTCATGTTTTCATCCAATGGTATGTCCTCTCTCTCACAAACTAACCGTCCCTCTTAAGTAGCAATGGCTGGCTGTCAGGTTCCTAGGTGTCCACTAGTTATCATTCCCCCTGGCTTCTTCGCCTTAGGCTAAGTGGTCCCGCGAGGCCAACACCCATCCTCATACTCGGAGGTACTACGCCCCTAGGGCCAAATCATAGTTAGTCGCCTCGCATTGTGGCATAGAGAGGGCCTCACCTGTCACTCCCATTCTGTCTTATGTTTAACTGTCACCGAGAGGCCGACACCCCGCCACAACGTTCAGTGGCCACGCTATCCCCTCGCGCCAACGCATAGATAGAGCCTCTCAAGCCACTTGACAATTAGCAGGACCTCACCTGTCACCAACCTAGAGTAATCATTTCGCTGCATTGCGGCACTAGCTAGTCAGCCAGCACACACACACGGTACTTGGGGGACCGAACCTGCAAACCCCGTCATGCATAACCATTACTTTTCATATCTGATAATCAGATCAGGTGTCCTAGCGGATTATTTCCCGCATCGTTATAACTTTAGTTTCGATGGTGAGTTTATATATCCTTACCGTAATACAAACCGTATGTCAGAACTATCATACAAGGCAATCCAGGCTTTTAATACGTCAATCACTTACGGGCTAAGGGTCTCCTACATAATTAGATATAGCAGTACAAGGATGAGTACAAGGATATACATGTTTCCCCAACTTGTCACTCACTTTGCGATCCTTTTATACCACATACACTAGGTGCCCATATCAATGTAATAGAAACCAAGATCAGCGGTTTCCTCCTACAATTGTTTCAGGCATATTGTTTCTTACATATATTTTCCGTCAAATACGTATATTGGCCACACGCTGTCTTTTACGTTTACACGTGGTACATATTCAGGCCTTGTATCAGACCATAGCCAGGTCCTCAATACGCTTAGGTATATATAGTGACTGCTTCCAGATTTATTCATTACAGATATACTGTTATTACTCTGCAGCCCATTAGGGGCATTTCAGTACATTGAGTTCTAAATTACATACGTTGACGCATACTGTCACCTAATTATCTTGTCTACATCAATTATACAAGGCAATGCAGGTTAAAGCATTAGCAATCTAATAAAGACTGGGTAAACCAGAATTCCCACTTGTTTCATATCAGACATCGAAGCATCACTCGGCCTTCATTACGAACAAATGAATACAATTCAAATCCTTAACAGCTAATAGGGACCTGTCTCAGCACGCCTGACATTCACAAGGTTCTCCATGCGCATTCAATCATATGTTACGCTATTTAATATTACATACATCTTACTATGTTATTTATGTTCAAGAAGTACATCAGGATTGACTTTCGGTCATGCTATCTGTTTCTCTCATAGAAGTTACACCTATAGGCATCTTATAATACAGTTAATTACAATCCCAAGCCTATCAAGTAAACGATTGTAGGGTAGTTATTATACGACATATTTTTAAGCTTAAACCACAATCAAAGATCCTTTTCAGGTTCCTCTCTTAAGAGCACATTTTCCCTACTGTTAGTCACGGTATTTCGTTTGCTCATCGGTTCGCATCACGTCAGATAATTTGTCAGATACCTTTTTTCAGTCCTTTTTCTCCATGGTTCTACCAGTTTTTACACATGTAAGGTGTTAACGCTCATCCAGAAGAAACAAGCCTGCCAAGGGTCCCCCGCAGTATACCCCGCCCTGGCCACTCCTAAAGTCCTGAGGTCAGGCCTTGCTTAAATGTAACTGAGCTTAAAGAACATTCAGTCCAGAGATCCTCTGCAGTTCAATAAGGTCTTATCATGCCTTAAGTTAGAGTTTTTGAGCAGGTAGATTCGTCAACTTACTCTAAAGCTTACGATATGGGTAAGTATTGTGTATGATTCAAGATAATAAAGGCGTTCCAATTATAAATGGCTGCTTGCACAATTTTTGCCACATATCTTTGAAACCAGCCTACAATACATTTAAAACTTTACCTACAGGAATTTAACATTACGTATACACCATATACCCAACAGCTCCCATTTTCTTTTATTATTCAGTAAAGGTGCCGACTAGTGCCCGAGATCAAAACTCCACAAATCATTCAATTCACTCCCTATCAACAGTAAATCTTAGGGGGAGTTTTCGAATTAACCATAAGCCTCCCTGTAATAACCCTACTAATATGTGTCAGCAGCTCACTTGGTGTTCCACGATTTATTGAGGCCAAAAGAAAGAATATTGCTGTCGGAAACATTCGGCCTTCACCTATGCCTAAAGAAATTCAGGAATCAACAATCGTTACATTATCTACTCCTCATATCAAAACATATGAGCTGGGTGTTTTAAATTGTGCCCGGTTCAAAATTTGTACT